ATCGACTGCTAGGGGAATAAATAGGTTCATCCTGGAGAGGGTGAAGCCAGGCTACTCCTTGGAGGCAAGGATTCTGAAGCTGCATCAGACATACTTTGGATATGTTGTAAGGACGGACCAGTCCTTGAAGAGGTACGTCATCCTTGGCAGGGTGGAGAGACAGTGCAGGAGGGAAGACCCTCTATGAGATGGATTGATTCAGTGAAAACGGTAGTGGGAGTAGGTGTGTCAGAGACGAGAATATTGCTAAAGGATGGAGCAGGCTTTAGGGCTATTGTATATAGGATGACTATGAGTCGCAGGCGACTTGACATCACATAACAACAACATCAATGCTGAACTAATCATTCAGGAAGCTGGACAACAATGAATACATGCAACATATTTAAGATGATAACCTCATCCTCATACTTATTTATAAGAAATATTCTAGCTACAATATATCCAAAAGAGATATTTTTATCCTTCTGGCAGTCCATGTTCTTGTCAATACTATGATTCAAAGGTATCATTTTGTCTTCCTTATTCATTATTCGGCTTTTACTTGTATGTGAAGCTGTTGAAAATATTATGGTTTGGGTCAGGTTCACTATCATCCTCATAGCATATCTTTGCTTTATAACATTTCAAAGAGGTTGTTTGTAGCAGATTGTTCCAAAGTAATATATCGCTTGATTTCCTGATTGTTTCTTCCATAATCATTGGTTATAGAGTCAAGTAAAATCAAATCTTTGACAACTTCCATCTTTTCTTCATTTAGCATGCTGCATTCATTGCATTAATTGTGGAGTCTTTGGTACTCTATTGAGAAATAATTCATACTATTTATTACAGTCTTTGATCTTCATCAGTAAAAATTTCAAATCCCCTCCAATTTTAACAAGCAAGGTTGTGCCACCTGCATATTGCAGGCTGCCAATTCTTCTTCCTCCAATTCTGGTGCTGTGCTCTTCTTCATAGAATTAAACTTCTTTGATATTTGCTCTGATTTTAAACCAAGCAGTATCTCCTTGTTCTGTTAAATAACTATAAGCATAATTAATTATTTCAAAATTAATAATCTATTATCCACAAGTTATAATCCATACATTTAAATATATTTATATAGTAGATAAAACATAAGCAAGCACTAATCTTTAATATTCACTGTTTCTAGGCAAGACTTATCTCAAATCAGTAATATCTTTCATCCAACATCCTCTTCTCAATCCTGCTTGAATTTCTATCAGTTCTCTAACAATATAATTCTGCAATTATTCAAAAATCCTCTTTAGTGAAATTTTTGTGTAGATATTAATGATATTTTTCAGTAATTTACACATTATACTGAATAACTTTCCTCTGGAATAAGTATAAATATGTATCTATTTTAACCATTTGGCAAAATGCTCTTCTTCAAATTTCTTGGCAGTAACATAGCAACTCTAATAAATTCTTCTTCTATTGAACCTGTGTCCCATCCCACAACCAAATTGATTCAAATAAATGCTTTCTTAAGTGTGTGTGTGTGTGTCCTTTTTTAAATTTGTTTCTAAAGAAACAGTGACTTTCACATCTTTTTTCCTTGTTATTGTCAATATTTAGACCTTGACTCAGGGTCATTTCATGCATAAAATGAAAAAATGCTGCCCTGTCTTTTCTCATACCTAGAATCAAGATACATTGATAATAATGGGTGACTGGAATGCAAAAGTTGGGAACAGAGAAGATGATTCGGTAGTTGGAAAACATGGACTCGGTGACAGAAATGAAACTGGAGAGAGAATGATCATATTTTGCACAATTACTCATTCATAGCAAATACATTTTTTAAGACACATAAACACAAGTTATATACTTGGATTTCACCTGATGGTATGCATAGGAATCAGATTGATTACATCTGTGGAAAGAACCACTGAAGAAGCTCAATATCAGCTGTGAAAACTAGGCCAGGAGCTAATTGTGGAATAGACCGCCAACTACTCATATGCGAGTTCAAGCTCAAGTTGAGGAAAATGAAACCAAATCCAAGGCAACCAAAATATGGCTTTGAGTCTATCCCAACTGAATTTCAGAAACATCTCGGGAACAGGTTTGAGGCCTTGAACACTAATGAATGAAGACCAGATGAGTTGTGGGAGGATATCAAGAGTATCATCCAGGAAGACTGCAAACAGTCGTTGCAAACAAAGAAGAGGAAGCAAAGACGAAAATGGATGTCAGAAGAGACTCTGATAATTGCACTGGAGGGCAGAGAAGCCAAAGCACAAGGAAGAATTCAAGATACAGAAGAGTTGAATAGAAGATTTCAAAAGGCAGCACGGGATGACAAAGCAAAATATGACAATGAAATGTGCAAGGAGTTGGAGTCAGAAAATCAAAAGGGCCGAACTCGCTCAGCATTTTTTAAGCTCAAAGAACTGAAGAGCAAATTCAAAACTCGACTTGCTATAATCAAGGATGCTTTAGACAGAATGTTAAATGATCCAGGAAGTATTAAAAGAAGATCGAAAGAATATAATGAGTCACTGTATCGAAAGGAATTGGAAGACACAGAAGAATTTAATGAAACAACATATGAGCGAGAGCCTATGATGATGAAGGAATAAGTTCAAGCTGCTTTGAAGGAAATAGCAAAAAATAAGGCCCCAGGAATAGATGGTATACCAATGGACATATTTCAGCTAAGAGATGCTATCCTGGATGTGCTCACCAAGTTGTGCCAAGAAATCTGGAGAACAACCACTTGGCCAACTGACTGGAAGAAATCTATATTTTTTCCTATCCCAAAGAGAGATGACCCAAAAGAGTGTGGAAACTATAGAACAGTATCATTGATATCAGATGTAAGCAAGATTCTACTGAAGAGTATCCAAAAACGACTGGAACAGCACATCAGCATAGAACTTCTGGAAGTCCAGGCTGGATTTAGAAGGGGTCGTGGTACTAGGGATATTGTAGCTGATGTTAGATGGATCTTAGCTGAGAGCAGAGAATACCAGAGGAATGTCTATCTGGGTTTCATTGACTATGCAAAGGCATTTGACTGTGTAGATCATAACAAACTATGGTTGAATCTGAGAAGAATGGGAATCCCAGAACACTTGATCATGCTAATGCAAAACCTATACTTGGACCAGGAGGCAGTCGTCAGAATCGAGAAAGGGAACACTGCATGCTTCAAAATTGGGAAAGGTGTACGCCAGGGATACATCCTATCTCCATACCTTTTCAACCTATATGCAGAACAGATTATCCGGGAGGCTGGGCTTTATGAGGAGAAATGTGGGGTCAAGATTGGTGGACGATTTTTCAAGAATCTGCATTATGCAGATGTCACAACCCTGCTTGCTGAAACTGAAGAGGACCTGAAGCACCTGCTGCAGAGGGTCAAGGACTGTAGCCTCCAATATGGATTGAGGCTCAATGTCAAGAAAACAAAGATTCTCACTCCTGGACCAATTGGCAGCATCAGGATGGATGGTGAAGAGAATGAGATTGTACACAGCTTTATTTTGCTTGGCTCTACAGTCAACACTCTTGGTACCAGTAGCCAGGAAATTAAAAAGGGCATTGCCATGGGAAAGTCTGCTGTTAGGGAACTCTCCAAAGTACTGAAGATCAACGGTGTCTCTCTGGAGACTAAGGTGCGTCTGATACAGGCCATGGTCTTCGCAATCACCTGTTATGCATCAGAGAGTTGGACAATGACCAAGGAGGATAGAAGGAGAATTGATGCCTTTGAGCTGTGGTGCTGGAGAAGAGTATTGAGAATACCATGGACTGCTAGGAAAACAAACAGATTCGTCCTGGGAAGGGTTAAACCGGGTGGCTCCTTGGAGGCAAGGATTTTGAGGCTCCGTCTAACATACTTTGGACATGTTGTGAGGAGAGACCGGTCCTTGGAGAAGGACATCATGCTTGGGAGAGTGGAGGGACAGCGCAGGAGAGGAAGGCCCTCTATGAGGTGGATTGATTTAGTGACTGACATAATCGGGATGGGAGTGTCAAAGACAGTGAGATTGGTATAGGACAGAGCAGAGTTTAGGGCTGTTGTACATAGGGTTACTATGAGTAGCAAGCGACTCGATGGCACATAGCAACAACAGCAACAATACAATCAGTTATAGTTAATACTGTTTTAATTCATATGGGGATTTTGTCTGATTTATGGAATTACAGAACTAAACATTTCTTCCTATCTGTCTTGTTGTTCTTGTTGTCCTGTGTACTGGAGAGTTGGAACCAACCCATAGTTGACACTCAAGAAGGTTTTTAAAAGTAGTTAATTGCATGCGAGGATATTACCCATCACTCTTCCACAGAGCAGCTGGTGGCCTCAAACCACATGCCTTCAGTATTGCAGTGTGGCTTCTCGGCACTAGGCCAGTAGACCATCAGAGCTCCCTTAGTTTGTCTTAGGGTGGTAATGTCCCTGAAGCCTGTTTAATATCACAGGAACCTCCAAGCTCCATCTGATTGTTGAGAGGTGACATGAGGTACATTACCTAGGAATCAAATCTGTATATCTTACATGTAACAAAAGAGTTCTACTACTGAGCCACCATTGCTCCTCCCAAAAAGCAACAACCAGATCTTGAACTAAAAAAAAAAAAAGGAAAAAAATAACAGTATACACGGAAGCCAGAAATAATGGATTTATTAAATGGTTTTATTTTATTTTCTTCCTAATTTATAAATAAAAATAATTGATACTAATGCGATTAACTCAACTGTTACCTCATTATCAGTAATGCATTAATTCATTATGAGTTACATAAATTCCATTAATTTATCTTTTATATCATTCAATTAATAAATTAATTCAAGTAATTGATACAATGGCTTAACTCATTAAATTTAGCATATATTAAAGGCAGTTTTCTGATTAGTGCTTGGTGGCTGGTGAAAAAGAGAGAAGATGATCAGAAAGTATGAGAGTTGTTCAAGGAAAGAATGATGATCTGATTGGAAGCAGGAACATATTGCTCAAAGGTTCTGAGCACTCAGCAAGTTGATCAGTAGAATCCAGATCCACAGGTTGGTCTGTAACAAGACTGGCAACTCCTAGAAGCCCAGGAGTATGGGCGGCACAATCCAGATCCATAACCCAGAGAAGAGAAACCATGGGCACCATAACTCAGAGGTCTAAAGCCACTGAATCCAGAGCTTTGTGAGTAGCAGCTTCTTGATTCATAGCCCAGAGAACAGCCACTGCTGGTGCCAAAGCCCACAGATCCAGTGTAAGTTGTTTGGCAAGGACTGCAGAGTGTGGAGATCCTGGAGGGGTAACAGGATGTCTGGCAAGGGTTGGATACCACACACGATGTGTGGTAGCTTCTGGGCTCACAGAAGCTCTCCTGACAGCCTCTGTTGAGAGAGGATCCCAGCTGGCAAGTGTTGGCAGAGCAGAGGTCAGTGCTGTAGACTAAGTTGCTTGGATAGGAAGAACCACAAGAGGAGCCTGGGTAGCGAAGGCAGGCTGAGCGAGAGGAGAAATTTCCAGAACTGTAGTTATAAGACATGTTCACAGCAGGTTTTAGTTCAGTTGAGTTATAATGAGAAAACTCTGAGTTCTAATGTCACCTTCTACACTGATCCATTTATATACTCTTAGCTGTGTGTGTGTTGTTTTACAGTCATCTTTCACAGTTTTAGATGCCCTCATTTCCATACCTATTACTGAAAACTGTAATTGCAGGTGAATAATCACCTTCATTTCATATATATATAAGTGAATTTATTGTGTTGTTATGACATTAAGATGATGAATGACTCTAATGTCAGAAATATGATTGTCAGCTACTAATTCCATCCCATCATAGCCAGGAAAGCTCTTAGTCTCCTCCCTTTTCTATTTGCCTCTCTTGGCTGAGGGATGCTTACATGTAAGGGTGAGGATTAAGATGAAGTCATCCTTTTTATTAAGATGAGAAACTCAGAGTGTTCTTGATGAGGGACGTAGCGTCTGACCCTCTTTCTCAACATCAATTTTCATAACCTAAAATTATTTCATGAAGGGAGCTTTGGTGGCCCTGTCCATCAGGGGCTGTGCTGATATGAGAAAGGCCTCTCTGGGAATTTGAATCTACCAGTAAGTTATTATGAGAAAGGTGAATGATCTCCCAAGTAATATACAGCCGTGGAAGCCAAACAGAGGTCAATTAATGAGTCGATTTAACTAGACAGCAATGAGTTTGAGGCTCTTTCTTGAGAAAATTATTTTCTACATATTATAGTATATTAAAAATGTCTATAAACAATTGAATGAGAAATATGAGAATTCCAGACAGAAACTTTGACATGTTTAGAGTCAAAATAAATAAAGAAGACTATTTTGAAACAGAATAAGGCTAAAGATTACTTTGCACAAATCTGAAATTACTAAAAATCAAATATTTTTTAATTAAAGGAAGAATTTTGTGACCTGATAATTTGTAAGCTTGTAATAGAAAATATTTTCAAGGAAAAAGGTTTCAAAATCAGAGTGTAGATAGATAGGTAGGTAGATAGATAGATGATAGATAGATAGATAGATAGATAGATAGATAGATAGATAGATAGATGGATGATAGATAGATAGATAGATAGATAGATAGATGCATAGTAATACATACATTTATGTATTATTTTTTACAACTTGTCTTGATCCTGCTAGCCTCAAAATCTGATAGTGAGGACTGTCTGGGCATTTCCATAGTCAAGTCCTCTCCTTATGTCTTTCCTCCTCATTTTGAAGCTTTCTTCTTTCCTAGCATACATATGAATGGTTTTTTAATTGCAAAATACTCATAAATCTTCCTTTTAGCCATCTCTAAGTCAGGAAAAAGAAAATATTTAACATTATCTTAGCAAGAAATTTGGAATTGATGGAAGGAATCAAGATAGTTGAAACTTAAGTGAAGTATAACGTATTGTACACCTCACTAATAGAAATGGTTGCAATACTTAAAGGTAGAGTTGTTGTTGGGGGTTATTGAATCATGTATGACTCATAGCAACCTTATAAACAACAGATTTGAATCCTGTCCTATCTTATGTCATCCTCACAATCTCTGACATACTTGAGCCCATTGCTGCAGTCACTATACCATCAATCCTCCTGGTTGAGAGCCTTTCTCTCTTTCACTGACCCTCTACCTTCTCAAGCATGATGTCTCTCTCCAAGGAATAGCGTCTCCTAGAAATAAACTTAAGACATGTGAGACAAAGCTTTATCACCTTTGCCTATAAGGAACATTTTAGCTACACTTTTTTCAAGAAAGATCTGTTTACCCTTTCGTTAGTTTATGGGATATTCAGTACTCTTCTCCAACATCACAGCTCCAAGGCCTCAGTTCTCTTTCTCTTGTCCTTAATAATTGTCCAGCTCTCAGATTCATACACAGTGGAGCTTGAATTTCTTCCTTCATTACAGTCAGCTCTTATTATATGGTTGTTGTTGTTGTTATGCACTGTGAAGTTGCTTGAGACTCATAGCGACCCTATGTACAACAGCCCTAAACTCTGCTCTGTCCTGTGCCAATAGCACTGTCTCTGATACACCCATGCCAATTGCCACAGTCACTGAATCAATCCACAAAATAGAGGGTCTTCCTCTCTTATACTGTTCCTCCACCCTCCCAAGCATGATGTCCATCTCCAAGGACAGGTCCCTCCTTACAGCATGTCCAAAGTATGTCAGACGAAGTCTCAGAATCCTTGCCTCCAAGAAGCACCCAGTTTATATGTTACTTCATGAAATTTTTTCTGTTGGGAAAGTGCTTGCTACAGACAGTCAAGGACTATAGCTTGAAATATGGATTGAACTCAACATCAAGAAAACAAATATTCTTAACATTGGACTGATTGGCATCACTATGATAGATGGTGAAGAAATTGTGATTACTAATAGCTTCAGTTTGCTTGGCTCCATAATCAGCACTCTTGATACCAGCAGCCGGGAAATAAAAAGATGAATTGTATTAAGAAAGTCTGCTGTCAGGGACTTCTCCAGAGTAATGCAAAGTAACAATGTCTGGAGACTAAGGTGTGCCTGATCCAAGTCATAGTCTGTGCAATTAGTTCTTATGAATCGGAAAGCTGGACAAGGAATGATAGGAGAATTGATATCTTTGAGTTGTGGTGTGTAGAAGAGTATTCAATATATCATAGACCGCTCAGAGAATAAGCAGGTTCATCCTAGAGAAGGTGAAAACAGGCTGTTCCTTGGAGGTAAAGATTCTGAAGCTTTGTCTGAAATGCTGCAAGGAGGAACCAGTCCTTGGAGAAGAACATCATGCTTGGGAGGGTGGAGGAACAGTATAAGAGAGGAAGACCCTCAATGAGATGGATTGATTCAGTGATTTGGGTAATGGAGGTAGGTGTGTCAGAGCCAATAAAATTGTCACAAGATAGAGCAGAGGTTAGGGCTGTTATACATAGGGCCATTATGAGTCACAAGCAACTCAACAGCACACAAGAACAACATTCAGAAATTATGGACTTGCTGATAGAAATGAGACAAATAATAGAATGCTTGAATACTGTACATTCAGTGATTTTTTTTAAATCTGAAATATCACTAAAAATAAACACAAATGGTAGCTTTACACATGAAGTTCACTGACTGGACTGCACAAGAATGAGATTGACTAAATTGAAGGAATTACTGTATAAGCCCTACATTAGTTGTTAAAACCAGGTCACATGTTGACAATGGTATATACCATCAATTACTCTTGTGCAAGCTCAAATTGATGCTAATAAAAATGGAAACATTTGCACACCAATCAAAATATGACCATGTATCTATTCCATCTGAATTTAAAAATAATTCTGAGAATAGGTTTGATGTATTGATCATCAATGATAGAAGACTGAGTGAGTTTGTCATAACATCAAGGATATCAACCATGATGATAATAAAAGGTTGCTACAGACAAAAAACAAAACAAATGTGAGAGTAGACCACTAAAATTGCACTAGGGCACTGAGAAGACAAACGAAAAGCAGAGACGATGAAGTAAAAGAGCTGAACAGAAGATTTCCAAGGGCAGCTCGAGAAGACAGAGCTAAGAATTCTAACAATGTACAGAGAGCTGGAATTGAAGAATAAAAGAGAAGAACTTACTTGGCATTTCTCAAGCTGAAAGAACAAATATAAGCCTCAAATTGTGATACCTAGTGATCCTAAGGCTAAAATCTTTAGTGACTCGAGAAGCATCAAAGGAAGATGGAGAAAATGTAATTAATTAATTAAACATCATACCAGAAGTAATAGACTGGCAGGTAGAGTTAAACAGCAGAAAATCAAGAATGCACATAAAACTCTTAAATTCCTAACAAAATTTCTTTAAAAATAATTAGAAGCTTAAAAACAGAAAACAGTAGTACAAAACATTTTAATAATCCTTTCCTTTCTCCTTCAAACAAAAGAAAACAACATGAAACTGAAAGGGGGGAAAGAACAAAAATGTAGATTAAATAGCAACCTAATTCTACATAAAGGAGCTCTATTGTCAGTACCAGTAGGGAGTGGCACTGCTAATCCAAAGGTGGTACTTTTCTGGTGGTTTGACTCCATCAGATGCTTAGAGAGAGAAAGATGAGTTACTTTCTCTCATGTGATTTACAGCTTTAGAAAATCCTCTTGGAGGAATAGCCCTGAGTTAATTCCAATTTGAGAGCATTGAGTTGAGAGAAATTTAAATGGAAAAAAATAAAATTGCTATAAATGTTTAATAAGTAACATTTAAAATACTAGATTGGACTTAAAAAGAGAAATATTTTCTACATAAAAATTTTTACTAATATGAAGAAACAGGGAAAAGGGGAAGTTTTAAAATATAAAAAAATACTATGTTTACTAATAAACATAATTAGTTACTCAGATATCAGTGGACATTATTAATAAGAATTCCTAGATCCTAACAAATTACTTTTATAATAAATCATTAGATTTTTTTAACATAGCAAATACAAAATTATATTCTATTCAAGAAGCATCAAAAGAAGATGGAAAAATTGCAGAATCACATGGAAGAATTACTTGGAACAACCTATGACCAAGGGGCAATGGTGTTGAAAGAGGAAATTTAAGCAGCTATGGAGGAACTGGCAAAAACCAAGATTCGAGGAACTGATGGCGTACCAATTGACACATTGAACAAACAGAATCACCCTTGGACCTGCCCATCAAGACGTGACAAGATATCTGGAGGACAGCTAACTGGCCAATTGACTTGAAGGGCTCTGTATTTATTCCTATTTCAAAAATTAAAAAAGTGATTCAGCAGAGTGGAATTTATCTCATAATATCACTAATAACACAGATAAGCAAAATCCTGCTAAAGATTATCCAAAAACGACTGGAACAGTGTATTGATGGAGAACTGCAAGAAGTACAATCTGAATCTAAAAGAAGTCACAACAATCCGAAGAGTATAGCCTTTTATATGGGTCTTTGCTGAAAGTAGAGAGCACCAGAGCGATTTTTATCTGTGTTTCATTGACTGTACAAAAGCATTTGACTGTATTGATCACA